ATCATTCTCAGGAGGCATTCATCTTGCGCGTACGATGTTCATCTGCCAGTGTACTTCAGTGTACTTCATATGTTTTCTGCGTCTGGATGTTTTCATCAGCTGGGAGCGTTCACATCTCATCGTTCGGTAATCTTTAGCGTTGGATGTAGACTGAAGTCCACTATTCAGAAAGAAGACAGGGACTCAGGGATTATTCATCATGCCCCCCGCAGACCGAGGGTCCGGCAGCGCTTTGGCAGAATTACTACCGGGAATCACACACATACCCAGTCTGAGCTGGTTGTCTCGAATCGTCATCTTTCTCTTCACGCTTCGAATTGTGCACTCTTTCTGTACTGCTTCGACAAAAGTGGTCTTCAGAGCTTCAAGATTACTGGAATGTCTTCCGATGCTCTACAACTTCTTCTACCAGCCAACTACATAGGACGAAGTACTCACAAAACAAGTAGAACAGAAAGTAGAAGTGGGTTACACAAGTCTGTATGTGGTCTCAAGACTACATGCTCACACAGATGTCTTCTTTTTGGACATCACTGCAGGTACGTCAGTCCAGCGTCCCAGACTGATTTCAGTGCCTAGTCAGAGCCTCTTCGTTGGGCAATCACTCTGACTGGGCAGATTGCCCCCCTGCATTCAACATTACTCGCTATCTCCGATGGTCTTCAAAGATGAAAAGTCTTCAGAAAGTCTCTTCCTTAGAAACAGGAATTACACACACACACACACACACACCACCCACACACACACCCACCCACACACACACCCACACACACACACACACACACACACACACACACACACACACCCACGCACACACACACACAAACACACCCACCCACCCACACCACACCACACCACACCACACCACACCCACACCCACACCCACACCCACACCCACACACCCACACACACACACACACACACACCCACACACACACACACACACACACACACACACACACACACACACACACACACACACACACACACACACACACACACCCACCCCCACACACACACCCACCCGCACCCGCACCCGCACACGCACACGCACACGCACACGCACACGCACACGCACACGCACACGCACACAAAGAAAGAACCACGTCCGCACCCATGCATGCATTCATATGCACGTGGCCTACTGGTTTATATGTTGTTTATTTGCGCATGTATCTAGCGATGTTGTGTTGCCATTTTGTTTTCTCTCCTACGCATCGATTTCTGTGGATTTCCAGATGCTTGAATCTCACCAGTATCATGCGACACGGCCAATCACGGTGTAGATGCATGAGGGTGGAACAACGTACCAGTGCGCGCAATGTGCTTGCCAGGTGTCCAAAAGCACGCATCTTTGCCACAAGTTCACTGAAAATAAAGCAGCGAAAGCCTGGCAGTTTCGGGTCGTTCGATTTCCGTAGGCATTTAGGGTGCTTGCACCATCAACAGTCCACTGCTTTCCAGCTGTCCTGTAATCTGTGTGTCCACCAAGCTTGATTAGCCAGCCAGCAAGTTGTCACCCGCCTTGAAGCCTTGAAGCGACATTATGTCATCGGGTCTAAAAGAGTCCTACAACCTGGGCCTTCAACCCGAGGGTGTAGGCTTTGGACAAGCGGAAGGTTTACCTGGACCTGAACTATCGGTCCCTTTGCGCAGATCTTGAAGGCCACGTGGGCGAGTTCAGGGCTGCCGGGCTTCAACGGGGAGCTCAGCCTTTCGGGCTCTGCCACATGACTGGCTCCTCTGGAGCTCCAGGGCTTTGTTGGTTTCCGAGCTGCATCCTAACCACGCACCATGCGAGCTTCGCAACTCGCCTGACCCCAAGCTTCGAAGCTGCCCACATGGAAGCCGATGCGCATGTCGCCTGACTAGTTGGAGCTGCAAGACTTCAAGGCCCGACTGCTTCCAACAAATTGCCGTGCCAGGACACAGAATTTCCACATGCGCCCGGCCTGCATTAATAGCAACCGGAGTAGTTTGTTAGTGTTGCTGGAGATTGCCATGATTGCTGTTGGGAGGTCAGGAAGGTTTCAGGTCCTTGGGATTTTGTGCTTCAGCAAAACACTGCATGCTGTGCTCTTTATAAAGTTCTTGGGGCGTAGCGTACCTTACCCCGTACTCCACACCGACCAGGCGCGGAGCTCAACGGCGAGTCCGATGCGATGTGGCCGGTACGGGACACATTAAAGAGCATCGATCAAGCGTTCCTCCGAAGCTCGGTGCACAGGCCTGTCGCAGTTGCCGTGGCTGATCATGTCACTGTAAGGCCTTGATGCTTCACAGACACCCGAAACGCATTCTACCAAGGGACATCGGGTCCCCAGCATACCACTTGGCAAGAGCTCAAAGTTATGAGCCTCAAGCACAAGACCCTGCTGTCAACTTCCAGCCCCGAACCACGATGACGAGTGACTTGCTTGCGAGCAAGCAAGAACAAGGCCCACCGGAAGCCGGAGCGCTGGCTCGTCGAAGCTGCAAAGCCTGTTGAAACAAAAGGTCTATGTCTTGTTGTTCGAAGATGCCTCACCTGAGTGGGAGCGTGCGACTCGATGTGCACTGGATGGCAGGGTGGACGACTTGATGTGGTACCGCAACTGGCTCCCGGGCATCGACCAATCCACGATCTCTCCACAGGAGGCACCGGTGTTTTGCAGCTTTTGAGGGGGTGTCACTCTCAGTAAGCCCATCTACCGTGCGATGGATGTGCACGACCAACGACATTCGCCAGAACTCCTTGGCGCTTCGTCCGACTCAACACTAGCGCTCATCATAAAGTACCGGCAAAAGCCTGACAGCGCATGGCCGATGTCGATCAAATCAAAGCAATTGACCGTATCTTGATCACGGATGATTAGTTCCGAAGTTGGACCAAAGATCCTCGGACATGTGAGCACTGCGAAGCGGTTCCGCCCGAGCACCCATTCCTGGATTTCGTGTGAACGTAGGAACTGTGTAGGTTTGCCTGGGCGGCTGATCGCAGACAAACACATCAACATGATTGACGGCTGTGCCGAGTGGCCGTTATGATCGGTTCCAGCATGTGCGGACATGCAATCAATGTTATACCCGATGAGATTTTGCTCGAAAGGCTTGGGCCACAGTGTGGCATGCGATGCCCTGTTGGAAACTTCTGAGTCCGAACATCAAGCAAAGCTGGCTTACTGTCTTTCGAGCACGCTGCGTACGGTACCGAATGCACTGCCTGGCACGTTCAGGACATCAGCCCTTTCGTGTCCGCCGTTGTGATCTTCAACATGCGTTCGCTGAACGAGCGGGACTGGGATTTGCTGCCGTACTCTTCAGTTCGGCTTGAGGTCATAGCAGTCCTTTCTTTGCCGGGTTTGGTAATTGTTTTCTTTCTGTCAATTTCTCTATCTCCGCATCCATCTTTCTTGCTTCTGTTCTCTCTCTGTTTGGAGCTTAAGCTTTCGTGCGTTCCATCGAACCGCTCAGGCGAACGGGAGCAAAATGCCACTTCTGGCCTTGAAGGAACGTTTGCATCGGAGGTTTAGTTTAGGGTGATGCAAGATCCGGCTGCTCCCCAAGCCCAGTTGCAACAAAGGGTGAATAAAGCCAAGCGGAACTGCAGCGAAGGAAGCTGTGAATTCACTCATGATCAGCTGGCCGCGCGGCTGCAAGATATTGATTCGGTGACCCAGATCTGCCTAGGTGCTGTGTGCGGATGAACTGATAGGAAGATCTTGACGACTAGCAAGGGTCAAAATGCAGCCCCCACAACTCAATCCAGCATTGCTTCGCGGGCCTTTCATCCCAAGTTCCTTCCTGGCCGCTGAAGCACCGACCTGCACGCATTCGCCGTGATGCCGAATTAGCCGCCTAGTCTTCCGCGTAGCGGCCTGGAGCAGAGTGGGATACAAACGCGCTTGGAACCATAGTGCCAAAGTGTGTTCACCACCTCCTGGTAAGCTGCGTACCTTTTGGAGCGATAGGAGGAAGTGCTTCATTGACAAGCATGTGTTTGCGCACATGTGGGCACCGACGAAAGCCTGTTGCAGACACCTCTGCCTGGGCCTGGGGTGTTGTATGGCTCCACACAAGAGCCGCCGGATGTGAGAGCCTGCGCCTCAGCAGAGTTGCCTTGCTAAGGACTGTGATTCTGATCATTCTTGTCGGAATGGCACGGGGACTCAGACATGGGATCCGAAAATTTTTGTCAAGTCAACGATTGCTGGTTGAGCGTTGATCACAGCTGCCGACACAAGTCCTTCGTTCCAGCATTGGGTCTTGCTTGTGAACTCTAGTGCTCGGTTGCTTTTCCACAAGTCATGCATCCCCAAGCTGCTACAATTTGACACTATCACCGATTACAATGTGTCCCCTCGTAAAGCGTCTCTGCGACTAGTATATGCTTGGATGCCAAACCTGAGTTCACGATCACCACCGATCTCGGGAAGCTCTCAAGCCGCCTCTTGGAACCACTCCGGACCCTCGCCGATGAGATGCAAAGCATCGCCCGGCAACTCAGGACTCAGGGCGTCACGGACTTCAGGCATCTTGTAAAGGCCTACAGTAGGGTTTCGGGTCTAGGGTGTGGGTGTTCAGGGTGCGCTGCAGAGGATGGAGGCAGCTATGATCACGGGGTGGACTCGATGTGTCTATACATGGCGCGGCCCACAAGTAGGCGACAAATGCTTCCAGATTCCCGACCTAGACTCGAAGATGCCCAGGGCACCACCTCAGAGCACCTGAGCGTTCAGAGGCGTAGATGACGGTAAAGATCCCGAAGCCTAATTGTCACGCCAACTTGACCATGCCTGCGCACCTCGATGCGGCGTGCCTTACATCACGTCACTTGCCCAAGTCCTTCAAAACGACAGTGTGTCTTGCGTTGCCTTGACTCTTTCAGACATTGCGGAGGCGTAAGATGAAGCCCCATATCTTTCCAATCGCAGGATGAAGAATGCCATTGCTGTCAATTTCTTAAGTTCAAGCACTAGGCTTCTCGGGGTTCCCGGTGTTCCACGGCATAGTCCACCGCCATGAGCGATGGCAGTGATGCGACCATGGACGACGAGCCTCTTGTCCGAATCTTTGCACGAGAGTGCAAGATCCCGGTTCAAAAAGGTCGAGGGTGGAGGTTTGAGCAGATTTTGGTATGTTTGGAGGCGAGATGCAAAAGGATGTGATCCCTGATGCTCGTCGGGGAGGATTGACGTTGAGATCATTTTTCGCCCAACCTGGCTTCGCGGACAGGACCACCAAGCCCACGTACAGGCTGCACGCCTTACCCAGCTACTGATTATCTGTATACAGCCATGCGGTCCTCGCTTAACGTCGAGGATGAGATGAGCTGTGAGCCGCGCCGTTTCAAGATTCTGGTGTTCATGATGGCCTGTGTAGCTGTGACTGAGGACTCTCCTCGTTGCACAGGCTACTCGGAATCATGATCGACATGGTGCTTTGCGGCGTATTGCTCCTGCCAGCCGATGATTCTATGAGCCAGTAGGTATTTGTAAGCATTGACTCTTTAATGGAACTTCGGGAATGGAGCCAAGCTTCAGGAGGATGATCTGCAAGAGACGGAAGAGGCGAAAGAGGAGGCTTTGATGGCAAATACAGTTTGTGCGCAAGATCTGTGCACCAACGCGCCTCGGCAGGAGCTCGCAGGCTTCCTTGGGTGGGTCCTGCGTAGCCGTGTGACAGAGTGCACCAAGTATTTTGAGCCTGTGCACATAGAGTCGCAGCGGGGGAGTCAGCCGAAGAAGCAATCTGCGCGGAGCCGGCATGTAGTCTTCAGGGATCTTTTTTGTCACAGCCGGTGCTCGAAGCAAGATTAGAAAGGTTGGCAGCAGGAGAGAAGCTGCCTTGTGTTGGAGACTTAATCTTGGGTGGTCCATGAATCCCCCCTCCAAGGGCGTCGGTCTGAAGTTGAAGAAGCTGTGCATAGCACGTAGGCGACGAAGGCCCGAGGGTCAACGAGGGCTTAGCTTTCGTTTAGTGGCATTCGAGGTGCAAGAAGTCGATGGCACGGCGCCAGCTGAACCGTACCGAGAGGACAGCTGTGAGAGTGTTGGAGGTTCTTAGCACGTCCCCACAATGTCGGGTTTCCTGCGGCCATGCATGTTTGACTTGGAAGCTTCCCGAACCCTCTGCTTGTAACGAGCTTTAATCCAACATTGTCACGCGATCAAGTGCTTCGCAGGTCTTGTGCGAAGGGTCAAGGTTTGACTTCCAAACGCGAGAGTCGTCCCAGGCAGTGCCTCTTTCGCCTCGTTCAATACTCTTGAGGCGATCCGGTGGCACGGTTTGGGTTTCATGTTGACTGTTGGCAGTTGAGTCGGTGAGTCGGGAGATCATCGGATTGAGATCAAGGCTTACTCTTACTCATACTCTTTTCCGACCATGAATCAAGCACTAAATGTTGCTTGATCCAACGCCTGCAGCGGAACAAGCAGATGTTGCTCAAGACCATCCCGCAATCTGGCAGCAAACTGCCTGATCCACATGAAAGTTCAGGCAGATTGCGGCCCACACTGCGCCGATGACTGTGCCTTGGATTGGACACTGTTGACGTGTGCCCCATCGCTGCGTACGACTGCGGGGTGAAGCATGCCGTAGTGGCGCAGGACAGCCGCCGTCTAAGAGCGATCGTAGATCTTCCAAAGAGGCAGCAGCAGCAGCACCTTCACGCCAAGCGAAAAAGAAGCGAGAATATCGAAAGCCGAATACCTTTTTCCATGTTGTTTCATGTGTGGGGTCTAGGGCCTTCAAGAACTATGCATTCATACCCTCAACTGCAAGCTTGATGAGTGTCCGAGCTTCGCCAGGTGCTAGGCATCGTTTCTCAGAGCCCGTTCTCTGCCGTATCCCCTCACGACGTGCTGGAGCAGCTCTTCCTGTGCCTTTGCCTAGATCGTGGCAGACACATGCTGCCGTGTCTCGACAGTGCGCATGACCATGGTGACACCATCACAAGACAAGAGCTTCTTTGCAGAGCGTATTGCGTGCAGAGCATCGCATGCAATGCAACAGGCCGGCAGTAGCAGAGAGAGAAATAGACAGAGACAGAAAGTAGCATGCTCGTCGCTGGGCTCTGGCAAGGCAATCGATGCCTGGGGATGATGTGAAGCAGATCGTTGGCTTAGACCTTGCTGGCCTGAGCTGCATTTTCCTGGAGCAGGCCTTGTACCTGGCACGAACCCGAGCCTGCCACAGACAGGGAGAGAGAGAGAGAGAGAGAGAGAGCCCTCCTGGCCGAGCTGAAGAAGAGAGAGAGAGAGAGAGAGAGACAGAGACAGAGACAGAGACAGAGACAGAGACAGAGATAGAGACAGAGACAGAGAACAGAGAACAGAGAACAGAGACAGAGACAGAGACTGTCAGAGACAGTCAGAGAGAGAGAGAGAGAGAGAGAGAGATAGAGAGAGACAGACAGAGACAGACAGACAGACAGACAGACAGACAGAGACAGTCAGAGAGAGAGAGAGAGAGAGAGATGTTTTTTGGGGGCTCTGGTCGGAACTGGCACACAACAAGGGAACGTACTCACTGCCCCGAATGCAGACCTTGGAAGGGGTAGGCGTATGGGCCAGGGGTTTTCCCCAGACCCCAATCAAGCAAGCGAGACAGGGAGAGAAAGAGAGAGAAATAGAGAGAGGGAGAGGGACGCAAAGGCCCAGAACGCCAAGCAGCTACCTCCCAAACCGACCACAGGGCGCAAACCCGTCCACTGAAGACCACAAAGCCTCTTCCACCTTTATAGGGGAAGGGGGGGGCCTCGGCCCGGGTCTGCAGGAGCAGACTCATCCCCCATGAAGTGAAGTGAAGAGAGGGAGGATCATCTTGAAGTTGGGGGGATTGTATTCAGTCATGTGCTGTTACCGCTGTGTTGTATGAAGCAAATTTGGCACAGAAAAACTCCGGAGCCCAGATGCCCAACACGGGCCGTGGGCTCAGTCTCGGAGCTAGAAACAGACAGGCGGGTTGGGAGTCCCTGGGTTTTAGTGGGTTCGCGGGGGCGGGGGGGGGAGGGGTTTGTGGGTGCTCTTCAGCCTGCTTGTTACTTTCCGCCCTTTGTTTTCCAGTGCGAGGCAACGCGCGGAGGGTTCGCGACCGCTGACTCTCTTGGCTGCGTGGAAGAGAGAGAAAGATAGACTCACAACCTTGGCCGGGGTCTGCACGCACAGACTCCTGCCCGAAGGAAGGAGGGAAGGAAGAGAGAGTGATTGAACAGATCCGGAAGTCGGGTCAACAAAGAGGCCAGGATGGGGGTTCAAAGTTTAGTCTGGTCTCTACAGTAGTTTGATATAGTTTGATGTCGGAGCTCTCCCTTTCCTGCCTTGCTCGCCGTAGACCCACTCACCCAGTGCGCGCTTGCGTGCGGAGGGGTAGTGACCGCTGCTCCTATTGGCTGTGTGCAACAAGAAGAAGAATAAGAAAGGGAGGAAGAAGAGAGAGTAATTTGTGCGGCAGGGAGGATGCGATGTGAAACCTGCTTCGGCTTAGTGCCTGGGGGAGAATGACTCCTGCTGGGAATTCCACAACCTTGCTTGGACATGCACCACCTCTAGCAAACACGGCGGAAGGAGCGGTTCCCTGAATCGGTGGCACACTGCATGATTCCTTAGCCAGGAGGTTTGGGGTTTTCGGATGCACAGGCGAGGCGCGTCGGGGAAACCGATGAATCCAGAAGCTAAATACAATAAGGTCTGAATTTAATGGTTTGGTTTTGACCTGCCTTGGACCTTCCAAAGACACAAATACATCTGGTTTTAATTGTGTTTCTATGCATGTCTCTAATAAACAGTTAAGTCATGAGCCTACTGTCCCGCTGCATACCAGTAGAATCTGCTTCAAGACTTGTGCCAGTTCGCTAGCAGGCTACCACATTAAATCATGATTTAGTTGCGTAATTTGGCATTCTTCTTGGCAACCGCCAGAAAAGTAGCTGGTTTTCGAAAGGAATGGTTCTCTAAATACGTCGATCGCCACAATGACCGGTCGCAGGTTATTGGGCTTCAGGATTGCAGGCTCCGAACCTTCCGTGTGGATCTTCTGAGAACTACGTTGTGGTGTTCGTCTCGCTGCATACCAGTAGAACCTGATGGGTAGGGCAGGGGTAAGGGGTGTGGTAGGGGAGAGTAGGGTTGGGCGGTGGTTGCGCGTCGATGGGGTTGTGTAGGTTACGCAGGGCAAAATAATCCATGTGTCTAGGGTAGGGCGGTAGGGGAGAGGAGGTTCTTGGTTGTTTGTTTTTTTGGGGGTAGGATTAGGTGCTTGCGAATGTAGGCTGGTGGGTTTTGAGGGTAGGGCAGCGCAGGGTAGGGAGTTGGCAAGGGTAGGTTAGGCAGGGAAGGGTAGGGTGGGGTACGGTGGGTTAGGGTAGGGCAAACCAGTGTGGGGTAGGGTTGGGTAGGGTAGGATAGGGTAAGGTGTAGGGCAGGAGCGGAGTGGGTAGGTTGTGCAAGGTCGGGTAGGGTAGGGCAAGGGAGGTTAGGGCAGGCAGGGTAGTGTCGGGTAAGGATGGGTTGTCTGGGTTCCCTGCCCTGCAACTGGGAGGGTAGAGTAGAGTAGGGGTGGGTGTGTACACGGATGTAGGGCAGGTAGGGTATAGTGGTTGGGGCTGGGTAGGTTTTGCAGGCTACGGTATGGGGTTGGGTAGGTTTTACAGGCCAAGGTAGGGTGGGGTACGGCAGGCCAGGGGAGGGCAGGGTAGGAGAGAGAGAGGGAGAGAGAGGGAGAGAGAGAGAGAGAGAGAGAGAGAGAGAGAGAGAGAGAGAGAGAGAGAGAGAGAGAGAGAGAGAGAGAGAGAGAGAGAGAGCGAGAGCGAGAAGGGGACCCGACCACTAGCCCCTGAAAACTAGAGGCACCAGTTCTTTGTATAGACCGAGCCCATCCATGCCAAATAATGGATGGGGCAGCGCGCCCGCGCGGGGCGGGAGGACTGCTCCCGCTCCTAGAACCTAGCAAAGCAAAGCGAGAGCGATAGAGAGAGAGCGAGAGGGAGAGGGAGACAGGGAGAGGGAGAGAGGGAGAGAGGGAGAGAGGGAGAGAGAGAAGAAGCCCACGCCCATTTGGAGGAGAACGTTCTAGTGTTGTCCATGTCTTCTTCCCCTTCTCCGTGGGTGTCGAACGATGAAGACGACCTTCAGGACACCCGGACAATAACACGAGCATTGGGTCATTGGGTCCAGCGAATTGTGCTGCTCGGAGCTCTGCCTTTTGGTGTTCATGGCTGCAAGGGACAGTCGCGGAGTTTGGCTCCGGGGATCTTGTTCCATTGCATGATCGCCAGAAAGCTTACCAGAACAACAGCGAACGAGCTTTGCAAAGTCCGCCTCCGAGGATTCGCACGCCTTTCATTCCGGAGGCCTCGGAGAGCTGGAGAACCTGAGCCTCGGCGTTTGGATGGAAGTCCGCGACATAAGTCCTTGGGTTGTCTTCTGAGAGAATCTCTCGCCTGCTTTCATTACTACGTTAGTATGCTTTTAGCCGCCCTTTCTCTTCGCTTCTCTGGCTGCTCCCGGATCTCCCGGCTGCGTCGCCTGCCGAACAAGGAGCGGGCTCATGCTTCTGTTCAACCTGCACCTTGGCACTGCAAATTTGCAAGTTTCCTTCAAGAAATGATCATGCAACTCGGGCCCTTCGAGTTTAGAGGCACACAGGTGAGTAGATTGCAGCGCAGGCATGTTTTCAACTCATGACACGATCAGCCGATTAGCCAGGTCTGAGGCCCTTGTGCGAAGGTGTGAGGTGTCGTGGGTCCTCAGCTGGCATAATTAGCGACGTAGCAAGGCAGCATGCCCATCAGGCTTGACTGCACCCTGGAGCAGACATCAACCTAGCTTGACTTGGAGAACAGGGTTGCATGTGGGTTTCCATTCTAGCCACGCGTGACTTGCTCCGTCCAATGCATACAAGTCTCAGGGAATTTCAGACAGACCCGAAACTGGACAGGCCAGAACTGTAACCCCCCCGTTCGCCCCTGCAAAAGGAAACCAACAAGAAACCGAAATAGAAGTCGATGCAGAAGCCAGTTTCTCAACATTTCTTCTCGAGTTGAAGCTTCTGATATCCGCAGAGAAAATGCGGGCATCGAGCTGAAACTCGCCATTAGATTGCTGCACCACCTAGACTGATGTCTTGGGAACTCCAGTTCAATCTTACATGGAAGGTGCCACAGCATCCTTTGGCTTTGTCCTGGCTCGGCGCCTCGCGTCGATGCCGCCGCCCTCCGCTCGCTCACGATGCCCACCTAGTCCAGAATGTTCTTTCTTGCGTCCTTGTGTTCATCAAGCGGATGGAGAGGTGAATGCCTTCCGGGCTCCCATAACTTTTGTAGATTTTTGTGGTAGGAGCTTTTAACATCGGCATGTATGGTCTGCTGGCCCTCGTTGTTGCAGGAGCTTATCATGCTTTCGGGGAGAAACCAGGATTGTCAACGACATGGACTACGCGAATCACTTGGTTGCGGTCTGTGCATGCCCGATTTCTGTGCAAGTCGTGCCCAGTCTTGAGTCACTTTCGGTTTGGATGTAATCAATGTAACCAAACCATTGCGACATTTCGGGTCCACAAGGTTTCAGCTTCAAGCAATCGGCACTTAGGCAGGCTTTCCGTTCTCCCTTAGTTGCCGCATCCGCAAAGTTCCACAAGACTCCCATGCCACCAATGCTTGTTACGGACAGACCTCCAGATGCTAAGCCCACAGAGCACTCCGGGCGCCCAGGAAGGTGCAGCAACTCCAGGCCCGGCTCTGACTCTGCATCGTTTGGACTTGCGGGCGTTGTTACTCTCAGCCCTGCGTCGAAGACAGGAGGATCCGACTGTGGCGGGCCGGCTGGACACTGGACACGCTGGATCTCCTGGTTCGGCCATGCTCCTCTTCGTCCACACTGAGTGGCCCGCCTTTCAGTGGGAAGCCCTGGGCTTTATCAGGATTCGTGGTGCAGCTCGGGACCATCTTCAGGTCTGTTCTTGTTCCTTCTGCTTAAGGCCACTCGTAGCAGCGTCGTAGCATATCTCAGCCCCAAAAAACTTGGGTCGTAATTGCGTTCTGAAGAACTTGGACTGGTAGTTGGACTGTTGCTTTCATGCGAATGTGGGATGCCACTGGCTGGTTGGGATTGTAGTCCTCGCCTTCGACTCTTCTGCAGCCGATCTAGCAGATCCCTCGTGCAGATGGGGGGAACCAACAGCGGAGGAAGGAGACCTAGCTCCTGCATCCGGAGAGTATGTTATTCAGCACGAAGCAGAGGAAGCTCCGATGAAAGCAGCCGGAGAGCATGCGAGCCGGAGTATGTTGCAAGTCAAGATGCGAGGGATTGTCATGCGGACGGTCAGCGGATGTTGCTGGAGGGGTGCTGTCAACAGCAAGTCTCTTTTCACAACGAAGCGATTCCAGCGAGCATGTATGGACGGTTCTGCGACGGTCAGATGCCATTGTGGCCGATGCTAGGTTGAAGATCCCCTTCTCGTGTGGCGGGCACGAGGTGATTGACAGCATTGAAAAGGCCCTGGACAGCAGGCACAGACGAGCACATTGAACAAACACCATCTTAGAAGTAGCTAGTAGTTGTATAGCAGAAATCAAAAGTGACATCCAGGAGTTAGCATCCGATGCCCGCTGCAATCTCCTAATCATCCCGCGCTTCGTGATCGGTGATTTGATCAGTATTACCTCGTAAGGAGAATAGTACCTGCTAAGCATGCCATGAGGAAGCTGCGTGATCCAATGCTAGTCTCGCTTGAGCACCTGCGTTCCAAGTTGAACTTCGAAGCACAGTACATTGCTTGTCCTGAGTCGCTGGATCAGTGGGAGCTGCCCCCCCTTGCAGGTGGAGGAGCTGCCTCAAGCGGCTGAAGCTCCTGCAGGACAACAAGAGGCTGCGGTCAAAGTTCAAGCTGTGAGCGATTTTACACCGATCGCATGCCGCCTTCCTATGAGCATCATGAGTATCATCACTTCTCTGGTTCCAGCCTTTCAGCTGCTCCTTCCCGAAAGCATGCATATATATATATATATATATATATATGTATATATGTATGTATATATATATATATATATATATATATACACACCTATCCCCACATGCACCTATACAAGCCCTTCGCTCTCCCCCGCTCTCCACACTCGAATCTGAACACTTTTCAGCCGGCCGCTGGTAGCCGAGCTCGGTACCGTGACGGTTGGCCCGTTAGCAATAGCATCATCTCAATCTCTGGCTAATTCCGGTCGTCACGGGGACAGGACTGCTTCGTGGACTCATTAAGCAGATCGCGAAACAGAGACCAGTATTACAGCTCAATGTCTCTGATTGCGTCATATGCAGGTTGTGGTAATGCAGTACTGCGGATGTCTAATGTCGACACCCACCCCTCGCCATAATGATGTAGGGGAAACACCATTCCCTTCAGGGAAGAGGTTTGAAACTCTTAAATGCCATCAGGGCATACACTTTGCGAAACACCGGCGAGCATTCTCATGCCGTCCCTTCATACCTGTACACATTGACTCCAGGAACCTTGTGATCCACATTGACATGATTGTGCAGTCGAACCGAAAAGCAGCAGTCTGTTCTAGGCAAGGACACAGCGAGCCAACACTTGGAAGGAAGGTGACCCTCCATAGAAAACCTTTACAAGAAGAGCTTTCACAGGCAACGTTGGGAATTGTAGCCACCAGACACAGGAACGGCATCCTCCGGCTTCTGCGTCCTTGCGCCGTGGCGCTCGGCCGCTGGATCGGAATGGATGGCTTCAGTTGCAATCCATAAATTCATGACTCTACTTGTTGGTGTCTAGTTCACTGGGGTCTCCTTCTATCTCAGACTCACACACCCCTACAGTAACATTCAGAACCCCCCTATATTGGACATCGAACAGGGCGTTTTTGCTGGAGGGGTTGCGGCATCAACTAACTAGGCTAGGGAAGACTATTCAATTTGGGAATGATTACTCCATGTGGCATCTTCAGGAATCAATAGAACATCGAATTACTTACGTAGATCACCGACATTCATACTACAGTGAATGCTGGTCTTTGCGGTTCGTGAAACGTTCAGAACAGACAGCGACTCGGAAGAGGGGGCAGGGTGTGGACGACGGGAGGATACTGCACCCATTCGTCCAAACAGTCCGGACAACATTTATGTGTCAGAGCTTTTCCATGCCCCTGTCAAGAAGCAAAGACATAAATGTCAAGATCTCCAATTCCATTGATCACTGGCTCTGGTTGCAATATCGGACCGAGTTTGACAGTGCGACTCCTGGGTGAATCGATCTAGGGGTCCGGTTAACGAGTGGACCTGTGTTGCTGCAGACCTCGCGGGCTTGTCCAAGTGTGAGCATCAAAAAACGCATTGACCTGCTGCATAAGGTCCTCTTGCACCCAGTGGCGCGGCCGGAGCGCTGGGTCACGCAAGGGCAGAGGCAGGGTAAGCGAACTGGGCCGACTCCGACACATGTTAATTGCGTGCACAATTATGGATTTCCTCATGCCTGTGAGATTGCCCATGCACAAGTATCATCAAGTATCTGCGACGGCCAATGGCCTCATCACATATCAGGCGGGATCAATCGCGGCTGCGGTTGAGGCACGCTGTGTCGGATTCTTGATGAGCGGGACGTTGTGTGAGGTCTGTGGATGTAAGGTCAAACGCGAAGTCTGATGCAGTTGTCCATTGACTGTTTGAGTGAAGCTTGTGTGCGACCCCTGGTGTGAGCCGATTGTCACGGAGCAGAGAAAGCTACTGCAGCCTTTGAGGGCTAGCGGAGTCACCTACCCAAAGCGTTAGCTTCCATAAGGGATGTTGCGGGGGCCATGGCCCGGCGGGTGAGCCACGAGATGTCACGGATTCCCCTTCCGGCTTAAGCCAGCCCCCTGAACTCGCCACGATGCGGGATGTTGCTCGGATCGTGGTTCATCTGGAAAGTTTTTGCTTTGCCGCCCGGGTGCAGTGCACCTGACTTTTCCACCAGATGCGGGTGATAAGTTTGTTGTTTCTTTGCCTGTGATTTCCCTCATTCTTAACTGGAGAAAAACTCAGCATCCCGACAAGTCACTGTATGTGAACTCAGGATCCCAGCATGGTGAGCTAATCGTATCTGAGTTCAAAATCAACCATGGAAGGGCTGGGCCTCATGCGTTGCCTAGCCTAGCGCTGCTAGACCCTCTGGATGCAACGGCAGACAGAGAGAGTCCCCCGCCAAAGTCTGAAGAAGTCGCGGTTTACTTGAATTCTAAGATATATACATATATATGTATATGTATGTATGTATGTATAAATATAAATATATATATATATACACACACACATATATATATATATATATATATTAATCTGAGGCGGAGCCAAGCCCTTTCATTGATCGCTTCAGATCCAGGCCTCCGTGCGTTTGCATTGCCAGGTGCTTGTTTTTTTGGACTTGGGGTGTCAACGGCCACTGTCAAGAGCGCCTGAGGCCTGCCGCAAAAAAGGGGCTGTGACACAGGGATTCCTGTTTTGAGCTTCTACAGTGCATGTGGGAGCCCCTGCGTGCTCCGCTTGGACTGGGAGTAATTCAATTAGTCAGGTCTACTATCTCACTATGCTCTGTTCTTCTAGGATCGCAGAGCTTCTCGCCTCTGCGCGGCGTGCCGCGACCGGTCCAAGCCGATGGCTCTCGACGGCGCAGGCCGGCTGCCTGGCAGTCATGTGGATCCAAGTCTCGAATCGTCGAAGGAGGAGGGTGTTGGCTCCTTTGTTTGCTATTTGTTTTGTCATACTGGGACCTGGCAAGCCCCTGTGCAGCCCCTGTGGCATTTTGTCTGCGTCGAGTCACTCTCGAGCACCACAGCGTACCAGAATTGAGGAGGTGCTTTTGCGTTCGACAATTTGACATTGGTTTATGTATGTACTTCATGTATGCAGCATGCATGTGTGCATGTGTGTATGTGCGTATGTGTGTAGATGTACGTGTGTGTGTGTGTGTGTGTACGTGTGTGTGTGTGTGTATGTGTATGTGTACGTGTGTGTGTGTGTGTGTGTGTGTGTATGTGTATGTGTATGTGTATGTGTATGTGTATGTGTACGTGTACGTGTACGTGTACGTGTACGTGTGTGTGTGTGTGTATGTGTATGTGTGTTATGTGTGCGTGTATGTGTAAGTGTATGTGTATGCGTTTGTGTATGTGCATGTGTATACATGTGGGTATGCATGTATGGCAATGTATGGATGTATGTATGCTGTATATGTGTGTGTATGTGTGCATGCATGTATGTATTTACGTACGTATATGTGCATGTATGTTGTAGCTTCGTCTGTCCATATGCATGTGCGCATGCCCTTGTATGTATGTATCTATGTATGTATTTATGTATGTATGTATGATTATGTATGTATGTATATATATATATATATATATATATATATATGTATGTATGTATGTATGTATGTGTGTATGTGTATGTATATATATATATATATATATAATTATATATAATATATATATATATATATATATATAATTATATATATATATATATATATAATATATATATATATATAATAATGTATATATATATATATATATATATATATATATATATATGCCAATATATGCATGGATGCATGCATGCATGGACGGACCGAGGGATGGATGGATGGATGGATCTGTATGTTTTTGTGTGTGTATACAGCTGTGTCTGTATGTCCATCTGTCTGTCTACAATCCACGCCTGTTTGTGCGTGTATCCCGCCAGTAGTTGCATTTTTTCTACGGAACATGGAAAAAGTTGAAGCTGCTTTCACGATGCATGCCAGCCAAGCAAAGCCGTTCCATCAATTGGGGTGTAGATGACCGTGTTGAGACGGTAGTGGCGAAGAGTCGCCCAACTAGCCAATTTCCTACTGACTCGGAGACTGAAGCGTGACAAATACGAGCTGCCGCTGGAAGCGTGTTAGTGTAGACAACCTGACCCACTCCCTGCGTGGAGGAGCTTGGAAGCTCCTTGCTTCCATTCTTGTCCACTGCTGGACAGCTTCCGGAGGAGCTTCTGGGTTTCAGGCCCAGTTCAGAGGCCTTGGGTTGCACGGTCTGGACGGACGTTTGAATTTGAGAACAAGGTTGACGGGTTGCAGTTCATCAAAAGCTTTGAGCCAGAAGCCAATGTGCTGCCATTGCCGTCGGATTCTGTCTATCGTTCGTCTTTGTAGAGTGTTCCGGCAGGCGTATCACATTGCCAATTACTCTCGCATAACATCGGACGAAGCAGGCATTGCGTTGACCGATACAGGACTTGGCAGCAGCAGTGCTTCGGACCGACTCTGAAGTTGTGGCTGGGTTTGCAAGAAAGAAGCAGCTCGCCATGGATCATGGCTCATCCATTGCTTTTGTTGTTAGACGCATGCTTCGGCCTTTCATGTTGGCTGCCGGTGAAAAGACTACCACGAAATCCAGTTGATAAGTGTTGATGTTCGGTGGTTGTTGGTGGTGTTTGTTGGGTCTCTGGCGATGTTGTCAGCGTCTCCACACGGGCGTTGCTCCTGTTACAGTGGTTTGGTCTGGGGCGGCTGCGGTTGGTGTTGCTGCCATTGGCGAGACTGTGCGGCTGCTGGTGCTATGACAATACAATTGCCAACATAAATGGTGCTACTGCTGCTTTTGCTTCTACTACTATTGCTCCTGGTGCCATTACCCCTGCTACCACTACTACTACTGCCAGTACTGCTACTACAACGACAACTACTACTACTGCTGCTGCTAGTACTACTCGTACTACTGGTATCACTAGTACTACTGGTACTACTACCTACTTCCTTCCTTCCGTGGCGCGTGGAAGCACTAAGGGTGCGTCTTAGACTCGGCCATCATAAAGACAGCAGAACCCTGACGTAGCAAGAATGTGTAAAGAGGAGCAGTGGAGCTCAGGCATGAACGACAAAAACGTGCAACAACTCCTTGTTTGGACCGTCAGTCCCAATAAGCGGCAAAAATTACGACCTTTACCGCAAAGCTCTCATCGCTGCGCGATTGCAGCAGTGGCTAGCCCATGGCCGACGATTCACAATCAGCAGTCTGTACCTGTCATCCGCGATTCTGTACACAGGAAACATCAGTGCGCTCACATATCACTCGCGAATCGCTTTTTTGGGCAATGCTCGCCACGTCCCCTGGCTCGTCATTGCCGGACTGCATGTACAGCTTCATTCCCATGGACTTGAGATGCCTAACCAGTTGGCGCAGTTTGCGCCTCGCAACCTGAGCCGGGTCAATCTCCTTTGCATCCTGCCTGTCGGAGACATGCGTTTCCGGACAGGCAGGGGGGCTTGTCGCTGATGACTCCTGTGCACTTTGCTGCGTCTTCCAGATTTCTTGAACTTCCTCGGTCACGTCCCTAAGTGATGGATCCTCCGGCTTGATGGGAGGGCAATCCAGCTGCGGCCTAACTGCAGTTTGAATGTCGCTCAAGGAAGGCTCAGGTTCAGCAATGAGTTGTTTAATGGGAGGAACATGCGCAGCTGCGTGTCTGGACGAGGACGAGGCTATAGGCATAGCTGCTATGGTTGACTTCCATGGTCTCCAGTTTGATCTGAAGTTCGCTGCTAATGGCCTGTGCCCAGACGATCGCCAAGCAGCCAGCACATAATCGATGTGGGATGTCCCATTAGGGCGGTGGTGCGTGTGATGAGGTCTGCCCCAGGTGTTTAAAGCGACTAATCTATGTCGGAAAATTAGCATCAGAGCAGCACGCTCCTGAGTTAACCATGCAGCCTGCGGGCCAGGCAGAATGCCTTGCCCGGCCACCTCCCCCAATGGGCTTAGCGTCGCATTCAGCACCCCCATGACTATCACCGAAGATCTGAACTGCAGGCTCGCCATCGTGTTGTCCATCGCTCTCCAGAATCTTTGGCGCTGCCCCATGAGCTTCTTTTGTTGCTCGCCAGCGACATGTGCGACTACAGTCCGGTAAGCCGCAAAGACATCGACTTGTTGTTTCAGAATTTGTCCCCTCCAATGAACAAGGCGTCCAGGTATCACAACCTTCCACTTGGTGGTGTTTGGCGCAAGCAGACCACTCCGAACTCCGAGCATTACTCCGCCACCTTTACCGGACTCCTTGGCACTGTGCATGATGGTCCACCCATGCGAAGCGTACTCACTGGTGAAACTCCAATGTGTTTCAACCAATACGAAAATCCCCACATGACATGAGGGTGCTGCTTCAGCCATGCAAACCATTCCATCTGGGGCTCAATGGAAAGGCCTTCGCAGTTCCAGTGAATGCAGTGGATGCGCTCTGCTACCTGATTCTTGCTGTGATTGTTCATCGTTGGCCTGTGCGAGCCTAGTACATCCGGATTCCCACAGTATGTTGATTTGCCGTCGCGAATTGCACGTCTCAGAGCCTGCCGAAGATTTCGTTTCCCGACTCTTGACTGGGATGACCCAAAAACTATAGGCCTCGCGTCCCCTTTGTTCGTCACTTGCGTGACTTCGCCTTCGCCGTGGCTAGGGGTGGCACAGGGTACCCTCGCGCCCATGGTATGGTCTTGTACGCCTTGTGCGCCTGATAGCACCCACACTCGGACTTGGGACCGGGACGAGTCAGTGACTGCAGAAGCATGCTCACGTCCTTCTGAAGATGCAGTTTCACTGTGCCGCAACGGAGGGGGGGTGTCGTAGATAGCATACTCCAAATCGAGAGTTGCATACCTTTCAATGGTCACAGCCGTTGCCACTGCTATGTTTCCAGGATAATTGCGACTTGCAAAGTTCAGGAACCGCGCAAAGCTATGTGGAGGAAATAGACTGTGCGCCTCTATCAGAAGATCCGTCACAGTGAGCTTCCCACAGACTTGCAGCCAGATCTGTCGCCCAGAATACGGTGCAGTCTTCGCAGTGTTCCAAGAGACACTCTATTCCCCCCGTCAGCCAGCTGCGCAGATGTGCAGTGCTGTCAAGGACCATCACCCTGACCCTCCGTAGCTCGAACCACTCGTGGCGCTTACTACTACCTACTACTGCTACTACTACGACGACTACTACTGCTACTAACTTTCGCTAGTGCTACTGCTGCGGCCACCGCGACTGCTGCTGCTACTGCTGCTGCATTATTCCCTCGGCGGCTGTAATGACTTCAAAAAAATAAAGAGGTGCAACAACTACTACTAATGCTACCGCTGCTGATGCTGCCGCTGCTGCTGCTGCTGCTGTCATTATCATTGCATTCTGCTAATACTATGGTGGCGACGACTGCTAGCACCACAACCACCATTTACTACCACCGCTACCACTCGCACACTACCAACACCATGACAACGACCGCAAGCAACTACTGCCGCTGCTACAGCTGTCTACATACTGCTATCGCTGCTACTACTGCTACCACCACAACGACGACTAGTACTGCTACCACCACTGCTACTACAGCAGCAACTACTGCTTCTACTCCTCTTACTGCTACTACTACTACTACAGTTGTGTGATAGCCTTTGTCCACTTCTGTGTGACAAAAGCATCACCAACAGTGCGGCAGATGAGAAGTGAGTGAGTGAAAGATGGACGGGTCTGCAACACACAAGCTGCTGCTGTAATTAGTGTATATCCCGCGAAGCATTTGCAAGTGAATATGAGGCTGAATATACATTGCAATCCTGTAACTTGTCACTTTGCAGTAAATTGGCGATGGGTAGGCTGATCCACGCCGTAGTTTGTGCTGGTAGTGTAGGGGTGCTCGTGTGCCGTGAACCCCCTGTCTGCACTAGCTGTACTGTGTGGCCTTACCTTGTGTTTTCGTGTGTTCATCACAAGAAGTTTGTGCAAACTGAAGGGGATGTACAGTCAGTGGTCTGCGGGCCGGCATGGGCTGCTGTACTTTGTGGCCTTAACTTGTTGTTCTGCTGTTGTGACAAGAAGCCCGTACTGGTCCGGTTGTTACGGAATTCATCGAATGCATTCCCAGTCGTTGTTGCTCTCATAGAGCCCCGCGGAGCTGGCATTGCCGTGCTAGGTGGGTGACAAAAAAACTACTACTACTACTGCTACTACTACTACTGCTGCCACTACTACCAGTACTACCAGTACTACTAGTACTACTACTAGTACTACTACTACTACTACGACGACGACGACGACTAACTACTACTACGACGACGATGACGACGACGACTACTACGACTACTATTACTACTACTACTACCGCTACTGTATACTGTTACTGCTACCACTGCTGCCATTGCTGCCACTGCTGCTACCACTGCTAAATTGCGGACATGTGTAGAAGCGTGGCCTGCGTACAGACTCAGTCCGGCCATCCAAGAACAGCAACAGGTGGAAGTTAACAGTGGTAAGAGTTGACGATGCGACACCCGAGCCGGGGCTTCAAGCGGTGCCAAAGCAGACATCGCCTCTAAAGGGCCAAGCACCAGCTGCACACGCAGGCATGACCTCAGCAAGGAAAGCTGACATCATGTGGAATGTGGGAGAGGAAAATCACAGTCGCACGTTCTATCACAGATTTCCACAGCAGCACATACAGTAGCTTAGCTCGGATCATCATGCCAAAAAGTAGCCCCCGTGGAACAAAATCCAACTGGCACTAAGAAACTCCGTCCGTATTGCTGTTGCTACTGCTACGACAACGAGCTACTGACGACGAAGTGTGGACGAAGTGTCGACATGTGTCGACGACGGTCACGCTTGCGAAGGCTACTGTGGCGAAGGCAGAAGGCGACGATCACGCGTACCATGATATTTTATATGGTCTTGGTCATGATGTGCCTGATCTGCGCCATGGTTGTGATCGTGTTGGCGATGTTGCTGCCTGAAGGTGCCACGTGCAGAAGTCCCTAAACATCTGAACTGGAGTCTGAGTTCTTGGGCTCACTCTGCAGCTTGACTTGGATACGCATTGGGCTCCCACTTATACTTGTTTTACTGAGGATGTTGTAGCTATTGCAGCTTGTTCACGAAAGTCACTGGCCTGTCGATATTTGGTTTGCTTCTTCTGGGGGTCGAGCGAGGGTGCCTCAAGATCAAAGAAAGCTTGTGAGCTTGCAAGTCCAGTTTCATGATTGGAAGGACGACACGGAGCAAGACATAGAGACATGAGGCTCATGCACAAGTCGTTCAAGACAATAGGCTCTGGGTGTGTATTCTCCTGGCTTGCTGAGGAGTTGTTTTTCAGCTTCAGCACGGCGCAGGACAGCACACGGTCCTATGGGTGGAACTTATATAGGCTGTAGACAGCTTCACATCGCAGCAGGCAGCACCTGAGCTTTTTCGGATGATGCATATTGCAATATGTTGGACAGTGCGAAACACACGTGTATTGATGTCCCTCTATGTCTGTAGCATAAGAGCATAGAAGACCGCGCCGTCATGAAGATGCCGTTCCCGCACATGCATTCAACACGCAGGGAGTGGCAAAGGGAAGTCCATCCCACGGAGTCTGTTGCTGTGACAATCTGTCGTCGCGGCGTCGTTATTGAGGCTGACAACAGGAAAGCTTTGCAATGGAGCTCCGAATCATGACGCATGGTGAGATTCTACACATCGAAGCATCCGGAGCCTGTCAGGACGCAGTGGAGCAAGCCTGTCGCGCTTTCGCGGTCAATCTCAAGAGCTCAGAGTCCTCGGCTGCACTGGTATTCAGGACCCTCAGGGATGGAGCATCAATACATGATGCGGAGCAACGGGGCTTCAGGGTGGCTGTCCGGACAAGTGCAGGAGTAATTCGACGGTTTGGATCACACTGTTGAGTTTCGTGGTTCCGGGCGTTTGAGCCTTGCAGCAAGGACCTTCATGCAGAAGGTTGTAATTAACTTGAAAGCTCCAAAGACGCATGATGAGAGGCTAGCAGCGGCTGGTAAGTGGCTAGTAGACATGACGATTTGCTCCCTGCAGCCAGGTTTGCAATCTTCGTGGATCCATGCCATCACTTCGGCTAAAGCACAGTACATAGCAGAGCTGTTCCCGTACCCAGGATCTGCAGGAGCAGCAGCTTCGAGCAGAGCAGCTTGTGCAGCAGAAGGCCACATGGGGTATTTTCACTCTCCCTCATAATGTACCTGTCGCTCGATCTCTGCGCGCTCTTATCCGTCCGCTTGCCCTTGCGATTGTTCGTTGTCTTTGTATTAGTGCTACTTGTAGCTTGCGCTCCGTGTCATTTGCGAGAGCACGGGGTGGAAGCATTACCTCAGGGCATCATCGGACTTCAGGCACGGACGACAAACAAAAGGGAGCCTAGCTTGAGTGCTAGCGCCTCAATGTTTGCAGTCCAGGCATGTCCAGGCATGCTTGACCGTTTAGGAGTCAACCATTGGGCCCCACTCACTTCACATTGACCTCCGAGTCTGCAGGTATCCTAGGTGACGAAAGGCCGAAGCCCATCCCAACTTGCGTTGAATTCGGAGGCCTACGGTCCCTTTCGTGACTTTGCCCTGAGCGAGACGCGTCGACATTGCGAGCGTCTTAGTGCTCCCAAGAGGCGCGGCGTGCGACAGCTAAACGTAGTCGCCGGCTTCCGATGCAAATTAGCGAAAGAAGCAGATGTGGGTCACTAAATCAATGTTCTTTGTGCTTTGTTTCGTGTGGGTCCTGCTCCAACGACGTCATGTTTTGCCGACGTTGTTCAGCGCAAAGTGGCTGCTGAAACTTCTGCATGTAATGTAGGTGGAGCAATGAGCTTGTGCCTCACATGGGGAAGCCGCTCGCTCCTGTAGGTACCAGACTCACACAACTTCTAACCCATGTGGACTCTCGGTATGCTTCAAAGAAGATCGTTGATGTTGCGCTTCCTGTCCAACCTGTTGTTGTCAACGTGTCGTATCCGGTGGCATGCTATGTTACACAATTCCTTCTCAGCCACTGGAAGTAGGGAGCTTTTTCAGGTTTGCCCTGCCGTTGTGCTCGGAGTAGACCCGTCCAGCCGCATCTCGCGTCAGGCAGAGCCACGAGCACCTTAAGGCACTGGGGTCGTTTTTTGTTGTGGGCTTTCGAGAGGGCGAGGCTCGAGGACTGAGAGAGAGATAAGGTATTACTATTATTATTGTTACTAGTATTACTATTATTGTTGTTATTGTATGGTGTTGTGCTGCTCTTGATCGATGCTTCGTCAGCCGGCGGAGAGGTAGTCAGACAATTTTGTAGAGACGACGTCGTGGCGGCAGTGCTAACCGGATTGATCTAAGCAACTCCCCTGTTCGAAACTCGTAGTACCTGCGGCCTGCGCTGTTTCACGGCGCTGTAAGCGATTGTTGCAACACGTTCAAAATGGGTCTATGCTTTAGGATGAGGAGGGCCCATCCCAGAGAGACTTCTACTGCGATTGGAGGAAGAGCAACGAAGCTTCCGCCCGAGTCGGCCATGCCTTTGTGGCAAGAGCCAGGCCAAGAGATGTTTGAGGCATTTGAGAAACACCCTCGGGTTTAGTAACATCGCTTGGACGCATTCTCCGCATGCTCATGGTGAGAGAGAGAGTGGACTATGCCTTCTCATGCGCAGGGTCTCACTGGCTCTTGAAGCAAAAAGCAAGACATCATGCAGTAAGTATCAAGGACATTGCTGCATGCAGGGTGCAAGCATCGCTGGGAGTGTCTCATCTCCTGGCACAGCTTTTCCAAGTGGCTATCTTTCCAAGACGCCATGTTCTCCGACCCGAGTAAGTGGCAGAGATGGTGGAGTCAGAGTCTGGTAGAGACGTAGCTGAGTGCCGTCGATAGTTTGGATGTATAACCAGCAGACCGTATTGTCCGACGATGACACGCACACACACTCTCCCCTGAGCTTGCTCCCATGTGGGGGCCTAGGGCATCAAGCGGAAGACTTGAGAATGGCCGACTTCAGAGTTTATGGCAACACCAATGCTCAGCGTGGTCTGAGGTGCAGGTCGCAGACGCTGTCGAAGCCCCGAAGGCAGCCGGGAACGACATGGAACGGACATGACCCACATTTGCAGAGTTGGGGTGAGGATGTGCAGAGATGAGAGAGCGAGAGAGAGATGCGGAGAGCGGCGAGAAGCTGGTTGAGGGTGCGTTGTTGCCTGGGAGACCCCGAGCAAGACCTGGCCTGTGACTGTGGAGGCCCCAATCATGGCTATCCCGCCATTCGGGCCTTGTTGTCACAACGCCTCTTGAATGCACATGGCGGCACGACTCGGCTCTCACGGGATTGTTCTGATATGTAGAAACGCATGTCGGGGACGCGGGACATGTTGCCCGAGCCGAGTGCAGAGTGCCTCGTTGCTGGCCTCCTTGCCGGTTCGACAGATCTCGAGCAGCCAAGGCCTCGTTCATGCCGTTCCTTCCGATCAGTTTTACGGACACCGAGCTCGAACCAGCAACCTGGCAAGCATCACGCAGGCTGAGTCCTTCCTCTTATGTGTGTCATGGTGTCATGTTGTCCTATTCAGCTACTTTGTGAACGGCGTGTAAACTGAAGGATTCTAGGACCCTAGGAGTCACGTGCAAGGGAATTGCAGCACATCGTGACGAGCCCAAGCCCTGTGCCGTTTCGGGGGGAAGTCTACGGGAGGATTGCGGCGAGCTTCAGGTGTATGTGTCAGCAATGGATCTGTCAGAAACCTTGGCGAGGGCATATTGGGCGAGGTTCATGGCTTAGCGGAGCATTCCAAACCACGCTTTTGCACTGCAATGGAACTTGCTTGCATGTCCTATGGGAGAGCTCAAACCTGCGATCGTTTCTCGCAGGTGTTGATCCCACCGGCGCCGTGCTTCTTTGCGCAGAGTTAGCTTGGGTTTTTGCAACAGTTCGAAGTATTCGCACAAAAACTCGAACATTCCAAGTAAACAAGAGCTCGGGCAAAGCGTTCATTATAATCAGTTGGGCTATCAAGTCACCAACACCGAGCCGGCAGGAGGTCCGCCGTGGGAGCCCCATGGCCCCACCTGTGAACATGTGGCTTTAGCATATCTAGTTTAAGCAGAGAGATGCATCTTATCAGCTCTTCGAAACAGAAGGAACCAGGCCCAGGAAAGCCGGAGACTGGATAATGAGCATCCTCCCCCTGGATGCCACAACCGCGCTTGGCTGTGAAGCTTTTCCTCGCCGGTCGCAGCGTAGTCCGTAAACACGCCGAATCACGGTGTACAAGCTTGCTCCTGGGTCTTTTCGCTCCCTGTCCGTGAGCCGAGCCATCCGTATATATGGTTGCGCCCCGGTGTGCCCCCCTCCCCCCCTCCCCCCCCCTATGGTATCCTGTTAGGCATTTTATATTTTCATAGGTAATCGACGTGTATTCTCACCCCCTTCTGTGGAACGGATGGTTTGCCTTTTCTATTTCCCTTTTTTGTGGAACAGGATGGTTTGCCCTATTCCCCCCCCGCTGTGGAACAGGATGGGGTTCCCTTTTGTTCTGAGACGCATACACACACACACACACACACACAACCCCACGTGTTTGTGTATGTATGGCATTCTCCGCACATGCTCTCCTGCAAGCCTCGGTTCCATTCTTTGGTGTGCGGTATTCTGCTGCTGCGAACTTAGTCTCCGGTTGCTATGTCTTTCTGAATGTATGGCCATTTACTACGACTTTTACGTTAGAATCTTGCTCAGAGGTTCTCGGTACGTGCATAATGTTACAAAGTATTGCCTGGAACCCTTTTCTAAGGAGTTTTACATAGCTTTGCTTGGAAATTTTGAACACGAGTAATCTTGCTGAGTGTTGCCTAGAACATTTTGCTTACTGCTCACAGGAAGCCCTGCTTGGCGGCCTTGGGGTAGGAATAATTTTACTCAGTCTTGCCTCGAAACCCTATCCTTACAGTGGAAATTACACGGGTGCGTCGCGGGCGGGCCAAGCGGGGTACAATACGCGGTGCGGCGCGCCTGTAGCGGGAGTCCTCCAAAAGCCTCCTGGCTTCAGGCCTTGTAGTTGGGAAAGGATACCATTGGGGGGGGGGAGGGGGGGGGGAGGGCAGGGGGAGTGGGGGGACCCAAAGGTCAATGGTCCGGATAGAGGGTGGGTCCCCCCCCCTCCCCTGTGGTGTGGGGTGTTTTGGGGTTTAGGGTCTAGCTTAAGCTTGTGAGTTTTGGATTTACGGTTACAAGGTATAAGGCTCCGAGTCGACGAGGGCTCAGGGAGGATTTGCGGTGTATGCTCTGCTTTAGGCTTAGAGCCTGCACTTAGGTGGGGTTTAGGGTTGGGTGTAGCGCTTTGGGTGCGAGTTGAAGTTGCTCAAAACAGGGGCATGCGCTGCGTTATAGGGTTTACGGCTTGCTTGCGAAGGGCTTGCGCGTGAGCCCTGGCCGCCAGCACCACCCCACCATCCGGTGGCAGCTCCAACGCCCCCAACCCCTTTCCGCACACGCCAGCCCCCCCCCCCACCCCTATCAGACCATACCATTGGGGGGGGGGGGGGGCTGGGAACGCCAGACGCCTGACCATATATCCCTGGCTTTGTTGGGTATGGGGAAGGGATCACGGATCACTTGCAGGTGGGAGTGTTCGTAAGTTGTAAGGATCTTCTTCCCGAATCTGTGCACAGACCAAAACATGGTCAGCAACTGTTCATGGGACTATGTCTAGTTTTAACTTGCTCCGGCTTACACTTGGCTACTCACGCACCTCGAAGGGTTCATCCCAGCTCTAGGGTGGAAGCCCGACGCCTCCTCCGACCCCAGGTTTGGGGAAGATCAAGCCTGGCGGCATCGTAATGACAGCTTTGCCATCTGCACTCCCGGTGCCCTGGGACGGTCGTGATGGGGTTTGGAAGATGAGAGCTCGTAGGCTGAACTGTGGACGACGACGCGCGAATGTCAAACTAAGTACAGGCTGAAGGAACTTGCCAGCAAGGCATCAGATAAGGTTTTACTCCTCAATACGAGCGGGCGCTCGATGGATGCCTTCGCTGGCATGCATGTGTCACAGGGACCAGGGGTGGCTGTAGAATTTATGGCAAGCAGCTCAAGTCCTGAAAGCATTCTCAGAATTACGGCGCAGGTGCATACAGTGAGACAACACAAGCAGTAGAGAGCTTCATGACTAGTGTCATCAATGACGACGGCTTTTTGATTTGGATCAGCCTGGGACCCTTTGCGGATCATTGTGCCCAGCGGGTGATTGACTCGATGCATCTTCTCGTGGGACCATTGCAATACTCTTAGCTAACACGCTTTTTCAGTAACGAAGGACTTGTCACGGCTCATGTGGCTCGTTCTGGTGTCGTCGGAACCAATTAGCTAGTGTGTTTTTGAGAACCCGCGTGCCCGGATGTCAAGCAGAAACGCAACCCATACTCTCGAAGGAAGCACAGGGCTTTGTCGCCTTGGTGGCAGATGCCCCGATCAACATCGATCCTTCGGAGACTTTGCCTGTCTCTGCTTAGTGTTTAGGATCATGGATTGTCTGGACTTTGGACTTGTTGTGGTTCCTTGGCTGGCCAGTGGCACAAATGGAATTCGTGAATAGCCTGCAAGACCATTCAATTGCGTAAGCTGTGGGCCCTGCTGTAAACTTTATATGAAACATTCCAGTAGCGGCCCACGCATGTTCCACTTCTGGCTCATGTGGCAGATGTTGCCAAGAGCCACGACGACTACGAAACGAAGGCGATTAACAAAGCAAGGAGGATACGAAGAAGACTCTAAGAAGAAACACGGGATCAGGACTACAGCAGCAGAGCAGCAGCAGCAACAGCAACACGAGCAACAACAAGAACAGAAGTAACACCGTCAACAACAACACCATTACCAGCAGCTACACAAGTAACAAGAACGGGGCCAGTTGTTGGCGGCAGCAGCAGCAGCAAACGCAGCGTCGATAGCAGCATCAGCACTAGCAGCAACAAAAGCAGCTGCGAAAAAAAAACAGCAATAGAAGACGCAAAACCCGCAGCAGCAGCAGCAGCAGGAGCGGCAGTGTGGCTCTGTCAGCTTCTATCCACTATGTATGCGACTGTCCCTCTCGCTCCTGCTGCTGCCGTAACTTCTGCTTTGGTTGTGGCCCACACTTCGGCCGTGTCTGCTGTTACGACATTCAACATTAGGCAGACAGTCAGTCACTTCGTGAAGTAGTCGCAGCCGCGGGAGTAGTAGTAGTAGTAGTAGTAGTAGTAGTAGTAGTAGTAGTAGTAGTAGTAGTAGTAGTAGTAGTAGTAGTAGTAGTAGTAGTATAGTAGTAGTAGTAGTAGTAGTAGTAGTAGTGGTAGTAGTAGCAGTAGTAGTAGTAGTAGCAGCAGCAGCAGTAGTAGTACTCGCAGTTGTTGTTTTTTTGTTATCGTTATTGTATTGTGTGTTGTTCTTGTTCTTGTTCTTGTTCTTGTTCTTGTTCGTGCTGCTGTTGTTGCTGCTGCTGCTGTTGCTTTTGCTGCCGCTGTTGCTGTTGCTGTTGCTGCTGCTGCCGCTGCTGTGTGTGCTGTTGTTGTTGCCGTTGCGGTTGCGGTTGCGGTTGCTGCTGCTGTTCCTGGCGCCGCTGTTGCTGGTGCTGGTGGTGTTGCTATCGCTCTGATATTTCTCTTGCTGATTTTGTGGTTGTTATTTCTCCATGTTGCTGTTGTTGCTGCTGCTTGTTGTTGTTGGTAGTCGTAGTAGTAGGAGTAGGAGTAGCAGCAGCAGGAGTAGTAGTCGTCGTCGTGGTTGTGGTCGTCGTCGTAGTAGTAGTAGTAGTTGTACTTGCAGTAGTAGAGTAGTAGAGTAGTAGTAGTAGTAGTAGTAGTAGTAGTAGTAGTAGTAGTAGTAGTAGTAGTTGAGAGTAGTAGGAGTAGTAGGAGTCGGGGTAGGAGTAGGAGTATTTGCAGGAGCAGTAGCAGTAGCAGGCGTAGTAGCAGTAGTAGCAGTAGCGGATGTAGTACTAGTAGTACAAGTAGTAGTATAGTCGTCGTAGTAGTAGTAGTAGTAGTAGTAGTAGTAGTAGTAGTAGTAGCAGGAGTAGTAGTAGTAGTAGTAGCAGTAGTAGTAGTAGTAGTAGTGGTGGTGGTGGTGGTGGTAGTAGCAGAAGTAGTAGTCGGAGAAGAAGTAGTAGCAGCAGTAGTCGTAGTCGTAGTACTCGTATTTGTAACTAGTACTAATACTAGTACTAGCACTAGTACTAATACTAGTACTAGTACCAGTACCAGTACTAGTACTAGTACTGGTACTGGTACTAGTACTAGTACTAGTACTAGTAGTAAGTGGGAAAGTAAGTAAGCAAGCAAGTAGTCGTAGTAGTAGTAGTAGTAGGAGGAGTGGTAGTAGTAGTAGTAGTAGTAGTAGTAGTTGTTGTTGTTGTTAGTAGTAGTAGTAGTAGTAGTAGTAGTAGCAGTAGCAGTAGCAGTAGCAGCAGTAGTAGTAGTAGTAGAAGCAGCAGTAGTTGTAGTTGTTGTTGTAGTTGTAGTTGTAGTACTAGTCGCTGTCGTGGTCGTAATCGCGCCGCTGTCGCAGTAGTAGTCGCACGTACTAGTCGCACTAGAGGTAGCAGAAGCAGCAGCACCAGCAGCAGGAGTAGTAGCAGCAGCAGTAGCAGCAGTAGCAGTAGTAGTAGTAGTAGTAGCAGCAGCAGCAGTAGTAGTACTCGCAGTTGTTGTTTTTTTGTTATCGTTATTGTATTGTGTGTTGTTCTTGTTCTTGTTCTTGTTCGTGCTGCTGTTGTTGCTGCTGCTGCTGTTGCTTTTGCTGCCGCTGTTGCTGTTGCTGTTGCTGCTGCTGCCGCTGCTGTGTGTGCTGTTGTTGTTGCCGTTGCGGTTGCGGTTGCGGTTGCTGCTGCTGTTCCTGGCGCCGCTGTTGCTGGTGCTGGTGGTGTTGCTATCGCTCTGATATTTCTCTTGCTGTTTGTGTGGTTGTTATTTCTCCATGTTGCTGTTGTTGCTGCTGCTTCTTGTTGTTGGTAGTCGTAGTAGTAGGAGTAGGAGTAGCAGCAGCAGGAGTAGTAGTCGTCGTCGAGGTTGTGGTCGTCGTCGTCGTAGTAGGAGTAGTAGTAGTAGTTGTACTTGTAGTAGTAGAGTAGTAGAGTAGTAGTAGTAGTAGTAGTAGTAGTAGTAGTAGTAGTAGTAGTTGAGAGTAGTAGGAGTAGTAGGAGTCGGGGTATGAGTAGGAGTATTTGCAGGAGCAGTAGCAGTAGCAGGCGTAGTAGCAGTAGTAGCAGTAGCGGATGTAGTACTAGTAGTACAAGTAGTAGTATAGTCGTAGTAGTAGTAGTAGTAGTAGCAGGAGTAGTAGTAGTAGTAGTAGCAGTAGTAGTAGTAGTAGTATTGGTGGTGGTGGTGGTGGTGGTAGTAGCAGAAGTAGTAGTCGGAGAAGAAGTAGTAGCAGCAGTAGTCGTAGTCGTAGTACTCGTATTTGTAACTAGTACTAATACTAGTACTAGCACTAGTACTAATACTAGTACTAGTACCAGTACCAGTACTAGTACTAGTACTGGTACTGGTACTAGTACTAGTACTAGTACTAGTAGTAAGTGGGAAAGTAAGTAAGCAAGCAAGTAGTCGTAGTAGTAGTAGTAGTAGTAGGAGGAGTGGTAGTAGTAGTAGTAGTAGTAGTAGTAGTAGTTGTTGTTGTTAGTAGTAGTAGTAGTAGTAGTAGTAGTAGTAGTAGTAGTAGCAGTAGCAGTAGCAGTAGCAGTAGCAGTAGCAGCAGTAGTAGTAGTAGTAGTAGTAGTAGTAGTAGAAGCAGCAGTAGTTGTAGTTGTTGTTGTAGTTGTAGTTGTAGTACTAGTCGCTGTCGTGGTCGTAATCGCGCCGCTGTCGCAGTAGTAGTCGCACGTACTAGTCGCACTAGAGGTAGCAGAAGCAGCAGCACCAGCAGCAGGAGTAGTAGCAGCAGCAGTAGCAGCAGTAGCAGTAGTAGCAGTAGTAGCAGCAATATCAGTAGTAGTAGTAGTAGTAGTTGTAGTAGTAGTAGTAGTGGTGGTGGTGGTGGTGGTGGTGGTAGTGGTGTTAGTGGTAGTAGTGGTAGTAGTGGTAGTAGTGGTAGTTGTAGCACTAGCACTAGTAGTACTAGTGCTAGAGCCAGTACACCGAATCAACCTTCCAGGAAGGTGCTCGGCTACCTGGATTTGGAGATCAGCTGCTCGGTTGTTTTTACGATCAGCAGGAGCTTTACTGTGCTTACGATGTTTTCAGGCAGAGGCTCAGAACTATCGACGAGTGGGGGCTCGAAATGTTGAACCAGTGCATGCGATTCAATGGCATGTTCAGTTTTTCTATGACCTTCTGCAGCCTCAAATGGGATTGCAGAGAAACAGCTTAAGGTCCGTTTCTGTTTTCGTTTTGGTCGCGCAACCAGGCAAGACGGCTCATTCTGTGTGCATGAACATGTGGCCTACTACCAGCACTGGTACTCGCACTAGTTCGAGTTTGGGTATTGGCAATAGCACAAGCACTACTTCGAGCTGTTGCTGCTGCTACTACGACGACAACTACTGCTAGTACTACTACTACATACTCCTCTTGCTGCTGCTACGACTACGACTACAACTACGACTACGACGACTACTACTACCACGACGACCATGTCGACGACGACTCCTACTACTACTGCTTCACGTTTTCCACCTCGACAGCAGGGGACTGTGGCCGGAGCTTTGTACCTCGAAAATATACACGGACTGCATTGCGGCGCGACCATGATTTCGGGAGAAACGCACATGGGACTGTGGCCAGAGGATCGACGCGCACTCCAAAACACGCGCACGCTTTGGCAGGGCAGCACAAGCGCGAAATTCGGCAAGCTGCAGCGGGAGCGCGGTTCATCAGCTTGCTGAAATGCCAAAGCATTGAAATGTCCAGTGAATCTGTAAGTTCCGCGTCCCCGGAGGAGCGGATGCAACGGAACTGAGGAAAGATTAGGACTTCTGTCGGAGCCGCGGAACCGCGGCATACGCATGAGCGCATTAGCCCACCTCGTAGTCTCGTAGGAATAGCGGTCTAATCCCCCTGCCCAATTCAGAACCCCACGGTCTGTTACTCTGTTGGGGTAAAACAAGTCGAAGGCAAGTAATGATAGCCACCGAATCCTCCACTCCCATCAAGTTTAAGTTTCGCAAGGTTGACTCAACTTAGCTGCTGGCGCATACCGGTGGTAACGCCTTCTGCTCCACGTCGTGCAGTCTGCGTTGGCTTCGAGCAGCCGGGAATCGTCTGAGATCCAGGTCTTAGGTTTGCAAACTACAGGCTCGGGTGACAGCCTCTCGTTCCTCTTTGGCACTAGAGATCACTGATCATCCAAGCAGAAATCTGGTAGGAGAGTAGGTGCACAGGGCAGCAGTTTTGAGTGGGTTAATTTGCCCCATCTAGGGTGCAGGGCCCTAAGACAGAGAGTTCAGGGTGCCTGGCCTTGTTGTCAGGTTTCAACAAAGACAACTTGAAGTGCTTGTGCATCCAGCAGTCCGTCTAAATGGACGGTATGGTGCAGGAGGTCACGGAGCTATAGCAACAGCCATTGGCCCAACAGCCGCCCTTGTATGTCCAGCTCTGCTGTCTAGCCTTAGCCTGCTGACTGGTTCCCCATGGTTCCCCAACTCCGCTTCAAGGTACTTCTGCCCGCAGGGGCACCGATTCATGGCACCGCCGCCGAAGTGCTCTGGATTGGTTGTTGCCGAAGCTCGTCTTTTCTTTGAGTGAGTTAGGATAGGAGAACGGTGCTGTTGGGCCAGCTTGTTGAATGGACTCCTCCAGGTGCCTGTTTCTCGATATCGGGCTTAGGTGGCTTTGCGATTTCTCTTTCAGTGCCAGACAGACTGCTATCGCCGCGGGAATTTGCATGCAGCGTGGTGGAGTCATTCATGGGGCTCCGCTAAAAGACTATGCTGCATTGTGCTTAAAGCCGATGCCAGAAACTCTGACATCAAACTCCACAGCCCCCAAGCTTGCATGAGTTCCACGTTGGTAATGCCATCATCAGATCAAGGGTTGAACTCAAGCACGCGCACAGATACAGCGGCACATGCTGTAGAATTGCTGCCATCCTCCCGTAACTTACTTGATCTAAAGCCACATAGGAATCTCAATCCTGAGTTCAGGAGGCCTTTAATTAGGCTCAGTAGGAGGGGGTACTTGGCAGACAGGAAAATGAGAACTTCGCACCCGTCTCGAGGATCCGGAGCTATCCCGACCACGCCGAAGTCGACGCCGCAAGGACTTGGCCTCGGTTATCCGCATCCTCAGAGTTCCCCTGGGTGACAAGCTGAAACCTCTGAGCAGACGTACGACATACTTTCTGCACTCGAAACATAGAAACACCACTGAAGATAGTGGGTTGCAAAAACGCAGGCCTCACAGCCTCCTCCTCAGTCTTGAGTCTTAAGCGTACAAGACTAGTCTACTGGGCCCTCATAGTAGTCCTTTCTGTGGTTTTGCATATACATATATAGTATTACCTCATATGTACACATCTATCTATCTCCCTCTCACATATGTTCTCTCCCTCCCTCTGTTTCCTCAGGATGGATACCGTGAGGGACAGCCCCCGGCCACTCCCGCTGTGATGGACGAAAGTGGTGTCCTGGCTTCACGAGACACCACCTCACATCAGTTTCGTCGCGTGCTTGCCGTGGAACTTTGGAGCATGTCGTATTGGCAGTCGGCCAGCACTTGCGAATTGTATGACGTCGGCATACCGGATGATGCACAAAGTTATAGAAAACTGAAATGTGGCTATGCGACGCGGGGCTCACAAGCGCACATGCAACAATGGCGGCCCGATCTTGTCGAAAAAATGGTGCATCAGATCCAAAGTCGAAGCTACTTGTTCATCAGTGTTGGAACATACTCAGTGCGACTGCCGTACCCACTTGCATCCGCGATTGCCATTGCTGAAATACTTCAAACAAGTGCTGCTGCAGGCAGTAGTAGTAGTAGTAGTAGTAGTAGTAGTAGTAGTAGTAGTAGTAGTAGTAGTAGTAGTAGTAGTAGTAGTAGTAGTAATAGTAGTCGTAGTGGTAGTGGTAGTGGTAGTGGTAGTGGTAGTGGTAGTGGTAGTGGTAGTGGTAGTGGTAGTAGTAGTAATAGTAGTAGTAGTAGTAGTAGTAGTAGTAGTAGTAGTAGTAGTAGTAGTAGTAGTAGTAGGCTCCATTCACTTTGTTTGCGTTTGCCGCGCACATGGCGCGGCAAACGGGTTTGCATTGGTGTGTTTCATTGCAACATGCAGAGTGCGATTATGCGAAAACTGTGTTTTCGCCTGGGTTTTAAGTACATTCTGGAGCTGTGCACGAGAGTGCATGCAGGTTTGAACGCTTCATTTGCATTCGAAGACAGGACGATCTGGGCGTCCTTTTTTTTTTTTTAATGTTTTTTGCTTTGAAATTCGCAAAAACCTAGAGTTTTTGCTGTTCCGTTCTCTGGCAAATGCGTCTTTTACGGCGGCAGCAGCCACGACGTGTCTTGGAACGCCATGTTCGGCGCAAGCGTGTCTTCCACATCATCTGCGTAGACGCAGAAGGTTCGCAAGACTGCTTCGAAACTCGGTGCAATTTGCACAAACATAGAGCTCAAGGCATCTATGTGAGCACAGGTCTCCTGACGACTGCGCCTTCCGAATTCGTTTCCGCTTCGAAGGCTCTGTTTGACAAGGCTTGTGTTTCGCACAGGTTATCACCCCCAACGACTGCTACAGTGCGCTTGCCAATCTTTGATCGGGCCAAACACTTCAAGTGCTTTAAGACTTTCGGCGGCAGACTGGACTTCTGCAATTTGCACGCCGGGGTGTACTCCGATCTGGAATGGCATGCCGTGGCACTCGCAACCCCTCGCTTGGACCAAGCAGCGCCTACGCCCTTGCACTGGTCCGGGTTTCTCAAAGGTTTCTGAGCGGTTTCTCAAAGACTTCTCAGAGCCTTCTCAAAGGTTTCTCACAGACTTCTCAAAGGTGCTCAACGCTTCTAAAAATGTGGGAGCACATAGCCTAGAACCGAAAGGCATGGCTGCACTGGAGCTCTCTCAACCCCAGAAGCCGAGCCAGGCTGCCAAAAGAGACCGTCAAGCTCTAACCTCATTTGTGGATGATGTGAGTGTCGGAACGTAAACGGTGAGCATGCAGTGTTGATGAAGAGGATGACGGTGATGGTGGCCAAGTGGACGTCATTAAGCCCCCCCCCCACCCCACCCCGAAAGTAAACGATGAGCACGCCGTTTTGATGAAGAGGATGACGATGATGGTGACCAAGTGGACGTCATTAAGCCCCCCCCCACCCCACCCCGAAAGTCAGCCCTGAAGTGCGGCAAACGAGGGTGATGGACCCTAGTTCTAGTAGTAGTAGTAGTAGTAGTAGTAGTAGTAGTAGTAGCAGTACTACTACTACTACTACTACTACTACTACTACTACTACTACTACTACTACTACTACTACTACTAGTACTATTACTATTACTACTACTACTACTACTACTACTACTACTACTACTACTACCACAACTAGCCGCCACGAGTGATCAAGCGGCCGCGCAGTTGACAGGCTTTCGAACAGGCTTGGGGCGCAACTTCTGTACTAGTGGTCCCGACCAGGCTCCTTTTCCGAACAGTAAGGGTTGGTTTGTGCCTACTCCGAGCCATGTGCCTCTCCGTTTTGCTACAGGTGCCGCTTTGATCCGCCAGGTCCCAATTGCTGGGCCCAGACTGTGGTTCCTTCAAACATTGCATCACTGGGTAGGCGGTAGGGTTTCCACTACCGCGCAGTGGAGGGACTTCGGTCTCTTGATGAAAGCAGCGGACGGCGCTGATGCTTACAGCGCACTCACACAATTTTTCCTATATCAGAAAGAACGACATGACACTTGTCTGCCGACTGGGAGCTCTAGCACAGCGAAGCCGGAAAGAAGCGACGCAGTCGTGGAAAGACAGTTCAAGGCACAGCCTAACAACTCGGCATATGGCACAGCCTCTCGCCGCGCTGGACTCCTGGACAGCAAGGACGCAAATGTCGGGCTCGTGGAACGCTGGGTGGCTAAACAGGTACCAAAGCGCGACTTGCTGGTCAGCGTTGGAGTTCTCAACCCTTCGGTGGCTTCCCCTCTGGTACGGCTCTACGTGCGAATACGTGCGACACCCGAGTTTCGCCTGAGCCCAAGTCTGGAGCTGAGCTAGGTGCTTTGCGCCGACCTACGCGGCAGGAGGAAGCGACACAGGCGGAGAGTCAGTTTGACCCAGCACTTTGGTACGGCTCCACGTCACATTTGGGTACAGTCGCAAAGCGGACGCGCTTGCTGTGCCAAGGGTGGCGGGCTTCGGCTACGGCCCTCCCAGTTGTGTTCGTTACTGTCCTGTTACTGACGAGGTCAGGCAGTGCTAGGAGTGACGGCTTATGTGCTTTGGTCAACGAGCAGCCTTCCTTACGGCCCATCGCTGGCAGTCCGGAGTTACCTAGTGTGGGACGCCACTAGACGGGAACTTTGGGAGACGGCTCTTCTGAGTACGACCCACCGGCTGCCAGTTCGGGAGTATTGGACGCAATGACTCACACTGAGGGTGACGGAGGTTGCAAAGACAGTCAAGTGAATTGTCCAGTGAAGCAACTGCTCAAGCCATAGGCAGCTCTTTTCCATAGGGGCTGATTGGCCTTGGAAATCAGGATTCGTTCTCTTTTATCCTTGCCTTTAGCGGTTTCTGTGTTTCGTTTTACTTCACGGTTGGTGGCTAGCACGAGGCCTCGGAGCAAAACGTGCCACTGGCCTTGCTCCAAAAAACGGATGAAGGAGGTACCTGCGATATTCGCATGGGCAGTGCCCTCGTGCCTCCTGCCACAGCCTGTGTTCATGATCGTGTCGGATTTCAGGCCGCTTAGCCTCTGTTGAAAGCCACGATGGGTCGAGCAATGTCAAGGTGATAGCTTCGTGTAGTCACGATGGCCATGGAAGAAGATCCGCAGTACAAGAGGCAATCCCTATACACACCTCCACCTGGTAGAGAGTCCAAGAGATCCAAGAGTGAAGAGTCAGTGCGTCAGCGAAGCCTGGAAGAAGAGTTGATCCGAGAATCACCTTCAAGAGACATCGGCGATGTACTGCAAGACCTCAAGGATATGACAGACGACTTCAATCAGCAGCAAGCGCAGGTAAGATTCCTAATTTGGCAATGCGCAGAACGTCAAAGGCAGGAAGCCAGCACCAAGATCTCCATCAAAAACTGGTGGAAGTACGAGTTGCAAGGCAGCCGTGACTACTATGCCATGGAATCGCATCGACAATCCCTGATTGAGTTCTACGCTAGGGAGGCAGGCATAGCAGATGGCAAAATCAAGTCCTTCAAGTACTCCAACTACCTTGGCAGGAACTTGAGCCCCTTCTGTGTGGTAGACATGGGTGACGCTCGAACACGCCAGCTGCTTCTGGAGCACATGAAGGGGCAGTACGCAAACAAAGTAAAGGAGTGGATCGACTCCACCCTGCAGTCGGAGATCAGCGTGATGAGGTCAGACCGCTACAACAAAACCGGTGTGAATGGGATGCTGGTCTTCGAGACCATGATTGCCACGTTCGACAAAATACAAAGCATCCCGCTCAAGTTGGTCATGTCTGTGATCTCCGAGATGAGACCCGATCTCACATGGAAGAAGGACTGGACACACAACACAGTGTTCATCCCGGACACACGTGGGGAAGTGGAGACATACGTAGCCTGGTGTGCGTTGGATCACCTGCACGGAAGATGCAATGTCTATATCAACGAAGAGTTGTTTAACAGAAGGGATTTTCGACAGGCGCTTACAGCTCAAGAGTTCGCCTGGATGTCTCGGAAAGGCTGGGGAAAAAACAGGAGCAAAACACTGGCAACTGTCGGCAATGTGACAAGAGACGACGCTTTGAATCCGGAAGGGTCATTCATGGAACAGATTGGCCTTGCAAAAGGTGAAGGGAAAGGTAAGCGGAACGCTTACAGCGCGACAGTAGAGCGAGCCATGAAGAGTGAACTCCCTTTCCGTATCGAGGTGTTGTCGCTGGCCCCCACAGAGTTTGTCAAGACGTACAACGAGCACTTGTACAAGTTGCTGACCCGTTGGAGTTGACTAGCTACTCAAAGTGCTAGGTCTCACCCGCTTTACCACTGCCGCCCCAACGAACGCTCCAAGTCCCGTAGGCCACCCTTCTCTTACTGTATCGCTAAAGGGTGCAAATACATCTGGGATCCATTCGCTCAAACCCTCAACTTACAAAAGGGGGTCTTGTCCAAACAGGGTTCGAAGACACTTTATTACATTAAGCGCGTAGCTAATAACTATGGCGACGGTAAGGTAGGAGAGACTAGATCATCGAAAATGTCATCGAATATGTCATCGAATATCTCAGCAGACCTGTCAGCGAAAATGTCACCGAATATGTCATCGAATATCTCAGCAGACCTGTCAGCGAAAATGTCACCGAATATGTCAACGAATATGCCTTCAAAGGCAAGCAGATCTCGGTCTCTTACTCTAAAGCAACTCGACGACCACGACAAGACACGAAACAAATACAAGAACAAAGGCATTTATAAAAGAACTAGACAAGCATTCCAGCACTCAATGCA